CAGAATTAACGTAGTGAATGCTAAAGAATAGAGAACATTAAAATTTAATTGTTCCATTTATACATTGAGGAAATCTAGGGTTTTACTGATGAGGAAATGAGGAAATCAAATATGACCATCTTATTTACCTTTCTAGGGAAGCTATTTCTCCCTCTCAGCATTCCTTAGTTGTCTGCTGTTCTTCATGTAGAGTTAGGATTTCCCCATCTGAGTTAGTATGTTTATTAGTGTTTTCCATGTCCAACTCATGCTTAGACTATTATGTTGATAAAGTGTATGGGTTTAGCTTCTAACATTATTAGAAGACAAAAATCTCCCAACAAACTCCCTGTTTCTCTGGCTCTTAGAATCTTTGCACCCCCTCTTATGCAATGGCCCCTGAGTGTTAGATGCAAGAGTTGTGTAGGAGATGTATGAGTTGGTACTGAGATACACCACTCTGCATTTTGAATTTAATCCATTTATATACTACATAACTATTGATAGGTACTGACTGAGTAGCGTCATGTTGATGTTTTGTTATTTTATATATCTTTTGTTCCTTTCTTGCTATCTGTTTACATGATTCCATATTTTTCTCTAGAAATGTGCTTTGATTATATATATTTTTATTTTTCTACTATCTTTTATATGTTTTATATTATAGTTATGAGTTCTATCGTTAGAATAGGCTATTTTATGCTGATAATAATTTAGATCTGATAAAAATATTCACTTTCCATATTTTATGCTTTTGATTTAATAATTTATATATTTTATACTGTTCATCTAGTAAAAACATCTTTGAAGCTATCTTTTTAATCTTCATACTAAATAAATAATAGATTTATATGCAGTGTTTAAGAAATGAGAGTACTCTGAATTTAACTGTATGTGTATTACCAGTGTGTTTTATTCTTTCACCTGTTTTCATGTTACTAAATTGATGAGTAATGCGATGTTTCCCTTTAAGCTTGAAGACTTTCCTTCATCATGTATTTATTTTTTAAAGAGAGGTTCAATGGTGAATAATACTCAGATTGTCTTGTCTGGGAAAGTCTTCACCTATTTCTCAATTCTGGCCTTCCATTTAAATTGTGTTTGGTGGAGAAGTTTGTTTTCTTCCTCTTCTGCTGTTTGAATAAATCACCCTCTGTCTCCCAGAATGTGACCATTCTACTGAGAACTCTACCACTAAATCTGGTGATAAAACTGTAATGTGATATGCTTTTCCTTGATACTTTCATAATCCGCATCATCTTTTATTTTTGACCATTTATTATAATATGTAGTGGTGTAGTCTTATTCTCATTGAGATTGGCTAGCTTGCCTTTTTTTATACCTGGACATGTAAATACTTCAGTCAATTTTAGAAATGTTTATCTATTATTGATTTAAACATTCTTTCTGGCCATTGTCTCTTTTTCTTTTTTCACTCCTAGAATTAGAACATTTGTTCTTTTTACTTCCCTATAAATCATCTATATTTTTCATTTATTTTCATTATTTTATCCCCCTTTTATGTTTTGGATAATGGATTGTTTTTCTCCTCTGATAAATGCTATTGATTTTATTTTATTAATTTTATTGCCAACACTATTTTCTCTTTAGATTTATTTTAATATTTTTAAATAATTTCAACTTATCTGTTAATTTTTGTATCTTGATTTTGCTGACTTCTCATTTTTCTTAAACATATCTGAGTTTCCATAAATAAATATTTAAAATTATTCATCAAGTAGCTTGTGTTTCAATCTTTGGTATAGATTATAGAAGATTAATGTATCTGTTGTGATATGCCTCTAGATTTTGTAGCAATTCTTGTTCATTTACATCAATGCCCATGTGTTCCATAGAGCAATTGTTTCTACTACATTTTACAGGCTAATTTTGATGTAGTAATACTACCCAGTCTCTTTTCCCAATGGGGCAGGTAGCAGGGAGACTGCAGCCATGTGGCCTCTGTTCATGGCTGTCAGAGGTTAATGAGTAAGAAGAGGTCAGGAGGATAGTACAGAGATCCTTAGTAGCCAAGGCTCTCCATATCTGCAGTGGCAGTGAATGTTGTTGCATGTGGTAGTCAGGTTTGGCCAGTAACTTTTTTCCTTTCACCAGGGAGAGAAATTGTGGCGGAGACAATCCCATTTGGCATCAGATTTTTCTTTCAGGCCACTTCACAGTATTTGTAGCATCAGTCATTTGTTGACTCACCTTTGGAGCTGATGCCTGAAGTACAAGGACATGGGCATGGGCTCTGTCTTTGGGGTCTGGGCACAATTGACTTCTTTTTGGTTTTAGCTTACAGTTGCATTGGTAATAATATGCACCAATAATAATATTATTGGTAATAATAAAGTGCTGTAATTGGGAACCCAAACATGCTTAGAGTTACAGTAGCTAGGGCCCAGATCATAGGCACACTGAGACCTGGAGGCTCTGCGGTCTAAAAGACCAATGCAAACTGTTGCAGTATGGCAGAGGCCCGTTGTAAGATGTAGAAGTATATATTGCAGCCACAGAACCCATGTCCAGAGTGTGGGCACTCTTTAATGGCCTCAGCTTGGGAATGCAGGATGCCTGTATGTGGCAAAGGTGGTAACGACAGTGACTAAAACCTGATGCAGTTCAGCCACATCTAAGAGAGGCAGATGGGCCTCATTACACAACTCTTTTTGAAGTATTTATTTATTTTCAGCATTCTGTATCTCTGTAATTGGGTTTATCGGGCTACCTTTTTGATGAGTAAATTCCTCTGACTCTGCAAGAACAGTCTTCTATTTATGTGTCATGCAGTGTGTTGCATTGATAAATGTTTCCAGCACATTCTTTCTCCCCTAACCCCAATTGTAATACTTTCTTTAATGAACTTCAGCAAAATTGCATAAGAAAAGTCCCTAGTTAAGATCTGTAGACTTAGAGTTCTAATTAGTGTACTTCCTTGGCTCTTTTCTTGTCTGTAAAATGGTGATAAGCATTAGCTTACCTCCTAGGATGTTGGACTTACTTCTTAATTAATAAGGAAATAATGAAGCAAGCTTATGCTTCTACACTGATACCTCTATTCTCTTAAGTTTGCCATTGCACTTCTTAGGCTCGTTTCCTTGATTATGCATAGCCATCCAGGCCAAATAATTCCTACAAGGCCATATCTGTACTTCTGTCCATGTATACAGTCTATCACTGATCTCTGACTTGGCAGACTCAGGGTAAGAAGATATCTCATTGCCTAATATCTTCAGTCTACCATTTGTACCTCCATACATATCCCTAAAATCCTACCCACAAAAGCCATTCTGGTCCTTACTACTGGAAATAGTAGATTCACTCGATACTCTTATGTATATACACTGTTTACTGAGCACTTGAGATGTTTATTTGTAAGTAAGTAATTAAAGGAAAATAAGTAATGACAGGCAATATTTCTAATTCAAATCTTGGGGCCAGAAATATTTGTAGTTTAGATTTTAACTCTTTAGGATTTTACATGTAACTGATGGGATAATTTGGAAATGGGACACAGTTATTACCATGAAATTCCTTTATTCATAAACCCTTTAAATATGCATCCTGTAAATAATTTTACACAGTATATCCATGTATGTCTACTATGACTATACTGCAATATGTAATATGAGATCATATATGGAAATTTCCATTTATGCTGTCATATTCTTATCCAAAACACTTTGATTTTAAGACGTTTAGACTGGAGTTCTAGGAATGATAATGTATAGAACAATGGTAGAAAAAGATTTCAAGCTTCATAAGTCATCAAGAAAAAAGTCATTCTTCAGTTGATGGGCATCTATGTTGTTTCCAGGTTCTGGCTATTTTAATAACACTGATATAGACATAGATGAGTACGTGTCCTTAATGTATATGCGCAAGAGTGGTATTGCTGGATCTTGAGGTAGATCGATTCCCAATTTTATGAGAAACCCCCATATTGATTTCCAATGTGGCTGTTTAAGTTCAATTACCCACCATCAGTGGAAGAGTGTTTACCTTACTCCACATCCTCTCCAGTGTAAGCCATCATCAATGTCTTTGGTCTTAGCCATTCTGACTGGTGTGAGATGAAATCTCAGAGTCATTTTGATTTTGATTTGCATTTCCCTGATGTCTAAGGATGTTGAACAATTCTTTAAGTGACTCTTAACCATTTGAGAATCTTCTGTTGGGAATTCTCTGTTTAGATTCCCCCCCCTTTAAATTTGATTATTTGATTTTGTGATGTCTAGTTTCTTGAGTTCTTTACATATTTTGGAGATTAGTCTCCTTTTTGATGTGAGGTTGGTAAAGATCTTTTCCTGTTCTGTAGGGTACAGTTTTATTCTATTGTTGGTGATCTTTGCCTTACAGAACTTTTCAGTTTCATGACATCCTATTTATTAATTGTTGATCTCAGTGTCAGTGCTACTGGTATTCTACTCAGGAAATTGTTTCCTGTATCTCTGTATTCAGTGATTTTCCCAAATTCTTTTCTATCAGACTCCATGAAACTGGATTTATGTTGAGGTCCTCTAGATGAATCTATGTCCCTAATGCTTTGGCTGGCTTACAGGAACCTGTGCCTCATACTGGGATGCCTTGCCCAGCCTTAATACAAGGGGAGGAGCTTAGTCCTATCTTAACTTGATATGTCATGCTTTGTTGACATTCCTGGGAGGCCTGCCTCTTCCTGAACAGAAAGAGAGAAGAAGTCAATGAAGAAGGCAGGGAGGAAATGGGAGAAGAGGAGGAAGGGGAAATTGCATTGCACTCCAGGTGTAAAATAAAATTAATAAATTTAATTAAGTAAAAAAGAAACTAACATTGTGTTTGTAAAGTACTTTAAATATTTGTTTTCTTTCTCCCCACTCCACCAATCTAGTTGTCTTCCCATTCCACCAACCAAGGGGACAGGAACACAGGCTTTTAACCAATCTGAAACTTTTCTTTTGTCTGACAGTATAATCCTATGTAAATACTTTTTATCTGACCCACACAGTGGTTTATGGATTTATATTGTTTCTTTGTAGGATCAAGGCAGTTATGATGTGACACGCTATGAAAATATTTTCTCCCTATTCTGGATTCTGGAGCAACTTCTTCAACAGGAAATCCAGGGAGATCCCGCTTTACACATTGATCACAGCAGCCCGGAAATCCAAACATTTCTTCAGAAGCATGATGAAACCATCTTCCGACTTTCAGATGCTTTTCCTTTATTTACTTTTTACTTGTGGAGACTGGGCATTCTCTTGAACTCAGCAGAGATGGAGACTGTTGAGAAGGAATCATTTCCTTAGCAGTCTAACATATATCAGAAAATGGTGTGTTTAAAGTTTTTCAAAGGTATTTTTAAATGAGTAATTTAAATTGATTAACCAACCTAATCATTAACTCAATTTAGTGATAAGACTTCTGCATAGGAAATGATGAATCACTGTTTTACATTCCAATCAGGAATTTCAGTTGACAATGCCCGTTAGGTTCATGTATTGCATCTACTTCACTCAATAGTCTAGCTCTGTTTTCTAAAATGGACCAACCATTGTCTCATAAAGTATAGTAAATTGTGAAAGATTTCCAGCTGATATAAATCTACAAATTGTAATGAAATACACATTAAACTTCTGTCATTTAACGCACAAATATAAGATTTAAGTAAATGGTGAAAATCAAATTTATTATATAGTTGTATTGATGTCATTATCCTCCTGAATTATAGTTCAGTAGAAGGAGAAAAGGCTTTGGAAACCAGTGTTTTTTTTTTAATTTTACATAATCAACATGTTTGTTAAGTATTTTTGAACTGTTAATTAGTTCTTTAAAATATCTGTTTTTAAAACAAATTTTCTGTTGATTAAAAACATTATTGCTCCTATGATTGTTAAAATGTAGTATGAATTTTATTAAGTCATTAAGGATGCTTTTATAAATTTTAATATCCCCCAAGAAATACACTTTATTCTTATTAAAAGTACTGGGTTGAATTTTTCCATCACACAATTTCCTTTACTTCATTTCAGTTATTAGAATTATAACAGACAAGCTTAATGAGCACACATTTTGTACTTTCCTATTGTGCAATTTAAAGAAAATATAATGTAATTTTCTTTCCGTTGTTAATTATGTGTGATTCTGTTTTATAAGTTAATTATCATTTCCACATGCCATTAGTACTAAAAAATAAACCTCGCTATGTTCTTCTATAATGTATATAAAATTATATCGTCTTCCAGAATTATTTTTGGAATTATTTACCAGGAAAACTGTTGTAAAAAAAAAAGTGTCTCCTAGAAATGGCTGTATAAACAAGAACGGAAAATGGCAATACCAATGGACATGTTAACATGGAAAGAAGAAAATTTCCTGGGGTTTCACCCCTAGATAAAGAACAGAAGACAACTAATGACTGCTTGGAGCGGGGGAATTAGCCTACCCCAGTGATGAGTCCCCTTAATTGTTATCTAATTAAGAGTGGTCACCCCTGAAGTCATGCGCACACACACACACACACACACACACACACACACACACACAGACTCAGCTAGTTATATTTATATATTTTTGAATAAATATAAATGCATCTATATATGTATGTAATAATAATAATAAAGAAAATGAGGCTATCAACATGAAGGGAGAACATGGAAGGAGTTGGTGAGAAGGTAACTGAGAGGATTGTGGCAAAAAAGGGAGTGGGAATGATATGATTATATTTCAATTTTAAAAATATATACTTTAATTAATTATGTATTTTTTAAAAAATTCTCCTTTTGTAGATTTTATGTGGTGGTGGCACTGCCTTATTGCTCCAGTCATTCAGCCAGGATACGGATCAGGCACTGGGATGACTGTGGATGTTCATTTTTTTCTAAATGAGCCCCAGAGCCAGGCCACTCCCCTGAGAGGACTGAACACTTACTATCTCCTCTTACTGCGCTCTATCACCACTACTGCTACAACTGATTGGGTATTTTACTTTACTACTTGATACAGTCTAAGCATAACAGAACACAGTGCTCTTGGAAATTTACACTCTATTAAGTATACTTAGGTTACTTAAATATTCCTTTGATTTTTTTATTTTATTTAGAATAAGTGAAGTCTAGTTGAGATTTCCAATTGATGGTATTTACTTAAGTGGCATAGATACAAATTTTATTCTAGGATCTGATTGTTTGGTAAGTCAATATGACTAACATTTCCTGAGGATAAAACATGTTAAGAGTCCTTAACCTTGCAGAGATCAAGATTAGAGTTCACTCCCAAGACTTAGACATGGAAATAAATAATACATTGAGGATACTTTATGCTGGCTGCAGTCATCCTATCATGTGTGTGTATGTAGGTATGCATGCAAGTGTGTGCATGAATGTGGATGCCAATGCTCAATGAGTGTCATTCCTCAGGAGCAGCAGTTGTTTCTGGTTTTGTTTTGTTTCTTTGTGGGGTTTGAGACAGGGCCTCTCATTGGCACCTAGAACTCTCATGTTAGGCTGGATGAGCTGATCATCAAACTCAGGGGACCTTCTATCACTGCCTCTGCCTTGTGTGCATTACAGGTATATGCCACCATGGTTCTTTAAGTGACACTCTAACTCAGGTTTTCATGATTATGAGGCAAGCCCTTTACCAACTGAGGTATCTCTTTTGTCCCATGTTTGATATTTTTAAACAGTTTTTGGAAGTAAGAAAATGTCTTCGTGGCTGCCTCATAGAGAAAAGATGGGCAGAATTAATTAATTTAAAATGTGTCAGTGATGTGTTCCTTCCTCAAAGTAGCTTTATTTAGGCAGCTCTTGTTCACAACTTTTCCTGAGATCTGGAAAATGCTTTAAGGCCTTTACTTTACCCTCTGCTTGTCAAATGGCACTACACATATTTTCTTTTGAAATGGGCCTTTTTGACATATTGAAACAACAGTGGAGTTCAAACATTGTAGAAGGTATAAGTAGAGCTTGAAGGAAGGCAAGAAGTCATCTGATAATACAGGCTAAGTGATGCTGTGATATTTCTCTCAACGGCAACTGTCTTCCAGCTTTAAAGCATTAAGAACAAGCAGTATTTATTACTATTAGGAAAATATGTTTCTTTTTATCTTTTTTATTTGAATTAGAAACAAGATTGATTTACATGACAATCCAATATGTTTCTTTTCAATGCATGCCTCAATGATTAGGCCAAGTTGTGAACTTAACTACTCATTATTATTATTAAACACCAAAAAGCACTGGGACTTTTCTGTCTTTCCTAGCTTGATGGGAGACTTTCAGTAGAAGAACATAGTACTTGGAATTAAAAATGAGGATATCATTCTGTCTCTACCATATAAATAAAACGCCAACTTCATCATTAATATGTATTTTATATTTCTCTTTTATTTGTATTCTTCTCTCATACATAACATCCTATTCGCAGTTTCCCCTTCCTCCTCACCAAGTCTCTCTCCCCACACCTCCGTTTCCACCAAATCCACCACCCTCCTCCATCTTCCCTGAGAAGAGAGTAGGCTTCCCAGGGATATCAACCAAACACAGTGTAACAAGCCACAGTGTGACCAGCAGCATACCATTCCATTAAGGCTGGATGAGGCAAACAGGAGGAGGAAAAGGGTCTAGAAGCAGGCAAAAGAGTCACAGACACCCACACTCCCACTGATGGGAATCCCATAAGAACACCAAGCTATTCAGCCATAACATATATCCAGAGGACCTAGATCAAACCCTGCAGTCTCCTTGATCTCTACAAGCCCCTGTGAGTTCTTTTCAGTCAATTCTGTGGGTCATGTTCTTTTTTTTTTAAATTAGAAACAAGCTTCTTTTACATGTCAATCTCAGTTCCCTCTCCCCCCCCCCCCCCACCCCACCTACCCTGTATTCCAATCCCCCTCTGTTCCCCAGGGGGTGAGGCCTTCCATTGGGGAATCTTCAAAGTCTGTCATATCATTTGGAGCAGGGCCTAGACTCTCCCCAGTGTGTCTAGGCTGAGAGAGTATCCCTCTATATGGAGAGGGCTCCCAAAGTTCATAAGATTACTAGGGGTAAATACTGATCCACTCCCAGTGTGGGCCCTGTTCTTTTGGCGTCCCTGACCCCTCTGATTCCTCAGATCATTCGTAGTCCTCCTTCGCAGGGCTCTCCAAATGTTTGGCTGTGGGACTCTGCATCTGCATCCCATCATTTGCTGAATGAAGTCTCCCTGGTCTCTTTGATAACAATTCAACTGGGCTCCAGCCCCAGAACATTGTGCATGTAGGACAAACTGTAGGTTCAAGGTTTTGTGGCTGGGTTGGTGGCCCAATCCCTCCACTTTAGGCCTTGTGTGGTTATAGATGTTGGTCGGTTAAGGCTCCATGTCACCATTGCTAGGAGTCTTTCCGAGGGTTACTCTCATAGATTAAATAGAGTTTCCATTGCACTACATTTCCACATCACCCATAAATTCTCCCCAGTTGTCCATCAGTGTGTGAATTTACATCTGTGTCTTAAGTTGGATTCTATTGATCAATGTGTCTGTTTTTATTCCAATACCATGTGGTTTTTAATCACTACAGCTCTGTAATACAGCTTGAAATCAGGGATGGTGATACCTCTTGAAGTTCTTTTATTGTACAGGATTGTTTAGCTATCCTGGGGTTCTTGTTTTTCCATATGAAATTGAGTGTTGTTCTTTGAAGGTCTGTTAGGAATTGTGTTAAAATTTTGATGGGGATTGTATTGAATCTATAGATCATTCTTGAGAGATTAGCCATTCTTACCACGTTAACCGTACCGATTGATGAGCATGAGAGATCTTTCCTTCTTCTGATATCCTCTTCAAGTTCCTTCTTCAAAGACTTGAGGTTTATCATACAGGTCTTTTACTTGCTTGGTTAGAGTTACCCCAAGATATTTTATATTATTTGTGGTTATTGAGAAGGATGTTATTTCCCTGATTTCAGGACTACTGAATTTTTTTCAGTTAATCTTTTATATAGCCACTTTGGCGAAAGTGTTCATCAATTGTAAGAAATTCTTAGTAGAATTTTTTGGGATCAATCATGTATATTAACATATCATCTGCAAACCAGCATCACTTTGAGTTCTTCCTTTCCAATGGGTGTCTCTTTTATCTTCTTTAGTTGCCTTGTTACTCTAGCTAAAACTTCAAGTAATATATTGAATAGGTATGGAGAGGTCGATAGCCTTGGCTTATTCCTGATTTTTGTGGAATACCTTTGGGTATATCTCCATTTAATTTGATGTTGGCTATAGGCTTTCTGTAATTTGCCTTTTATCCATGTATGTCCCTTTTATCCATGATCTCTCCAAGACCTTTATCTTGAAGTGTTATTGGATTTTCACAAAGGCTTTTTCAGCATCTAATGAGATGACCATGTGTTCTCTTTTCTTTCAGCCTGTTTATATGGTGGATTACATTGACGAATGTGTGTATGTTGAACCATCCTTACATCTCTGGGATGAAGCCTACTTGATCATGGTGGATGGTCCTTTTGATGTGGTCTTGGATTTGGTTTGCAGTATTTTATCAAGTATTTATGTTCATGGGGCAAATTGGTGTATAATTCTCTTTCTTTGTTGAATCTTTATGTGGTTTGGGTGTCAGGGTTACTGTGGCCTCATAAAATGAATTTGGCAATGATCCTTCTCTTTATAAATAATAGTTTTAAAAGTGAAATCCCACCAGAGGGGTTTTTTCATGTGAAGCTACATGCAGAAATTGTTTTGTGAACTCTGAAGTGAAAATGTCACTAGGAAGAGCAAACCCTTATATAATGTTTGTTACAGACCAGGGCATGATCCAACTATCTATCTGTATACCTCATTCATCTTCCTGCAACCCCAGTCAATATTATGAGGTCAATTGGCCACACTTTTATAGCTGAGTAGCAAGGAAGTTAAATGGCTTGTCCAAAGTCAGCAGGAGACTGTTATTCTGTGTTTGTGTGTGTGTGTGTGTGTGTGTGTGTGTGTGTGTGTGTCCTGTCTGTTCTGGCACTCACTTTGTAGACAAAGTTGGCTTCAAACTCATAGAGATCTGCCTGCCTTTGCCTCCCTAGTGCTGGGATTAAAATCATGCACCACTATGCCCAGCTAACTTTTACATTGTATTTATTCAGATTTTCTTCTACTCCACATGTTCTACCTGCACTCAGAA